GTTTATAGGGTTTATAGGGTTTATAGGGTTTATAGGGTTTCTAGGGTTTTTAGGGTTTTTAGGGTCTACAGAGTTTAAAGGGTTTATAGGGTTTATAGGGCTCATAGGGTTTATAGGGTTTATAGGGTTTCTAGGGTTTTTAGTGTTTTTTTCTGCTTTTTAGGGTTTAGGGTTCAGGGTTGAAAGGGTTTAGGGTTTAGGGTTTGGAGTTTAGGGTGTAGGGTTTGGGGTTTAGGGTTTAGGTTGGGAGTTGAGGAAGATCCTGAAAAGGGGGGCTTTAGGCTCAGGGCGGTTGAGGGTTTCCGGGTTCAGGGTTTGGAGTTGAGGGTTTCGGGTTTCAGGCTTAAGGTTTAGGATATCTCGGGTGGTTTGGAGTTTAGGGTGTGGTTTAGGTTTAGGATATCTAGGGAGTTGGAGTTTAGTAGGGGGACTTAGGGTTTGGGGTTTTACTGCTAAACAGGGCAACGCAAGGCACGAGCCGACAATCGGATCTTGGCTGATGTTCTGCCATCTTTGGAGGATTCTGTGGGATTGATGGCATCGGCTGACAGCACAACCATCGAGCACCATGGCAGCGATGGATTGGAAGATGCGCTGACAGCTCAAATCGATTGCCGCTTCTCGGCAGACGAGGGATCTACACCCTTCGCTGCTGCCACTGCTGCATCTGCTGCCCGTTTGTGCTTCGCTCATCCCCGTCATAGCCGCCATAGCCATAGCCAGGCCCCGCCCCTTGGCGCCGGCCCCCGAAGCCGCTCTGGTGCTGTGGCATCTGGTGCTGTTGCATCTGCTGCATCCGCTGCATTTGTTCTTCTCTCATCCCCCCGAAGCCGCCGAAGCCGGCCCCCATGTGGGCCATGTCCATGTGGTGCTGTGGCATCTGGTGCTGTTGCATCTGCTGCATCTGCTGCATTTCTTCTTCGCCCATCCCCCCCCCGAAGCCGGCCCCCATGTGGCCCATCCTGTCATCTGCTGCGCTCCACTGCTGATGCGTGTCCATGGTCAGGGAAGACTTGCCCTGGAAGATGCCGAAGTTCTGGAAGCCCAGGCCCAGGAGACCCACGAGCCCGAGCCCCACAGTCACCGCCAGAGCCACCTTCGCCACCTTCCCCCAGCGGAAGCTCGGAGCGATCGGGACCTCTTCCTCGGACTGGGAGGGCACGGCCTCGAGATCGAAGGATGCGGCCATGTCCCGAAACTTGCAGAGCTCGTGGCAAGCAAGATGAGCGCGCCTTTTTGCGCAGAAGCTTGTTAAAAGGCTTGAGCAGAGAAGAGGCAAACAAGCCAGAACGAGAAATCTCTGTGAGAGCAGCCCTGAAACTACTACTTTCTGAAGAACCCCCCCCAAAAAAAATAATAGAAGAAAAAGAAAAAGATTTGGGCTTAGCTTGGTAGTGGATTTGCGGCAGCTTGGTGCTTGAACCAGGAAGCCCCCATGAACCTTGGCCTTTGAGTTGGGAGGGTCCCCATTTTTCTTGCAGCGCACCAAACCCCTAACCCTAAACCTTAAACCCGAAATCCCAAACTCCAACCCTCCCGAGGTATCTTAAACCTTAAACCCTAAACCCTGAACTCCAAACCTGAAAGGCCCTAAACCCTAACCCCGAAACCCTAAACCCGACTTCGAGTACCTGTCGGTGACTTCGGGACTGTGGGCTGAACGCTGAAACCTTCTCCGACCCTCCAGATTCGAGCTTCGGGAGGTTTTAGGGACTTAGGGTTTAGGGTTTCAGGGCTGCAGGGTTGAAGGGTTAAAGGTTTTCAGGGTTGAAGGGTTGAAGGTTTGAGGGTTTGAGGGGTTTCAGAGAGCTGTCGGGCGAACCCTGCAACAGTGCTGCTCTGTCCTCCTTGCCCACCTCAGCTGGAGAGGCTGTGTCAAACAGTTGGGCTTAGGCCAGCCGCATTTCAAATCCCAGCCCTAAATCCCATGTAGATCCTAATCCTGAACCCTAAACCCGAAACCCGAAACCTGCTTCGACTCTGATTTGGGGTCCCTGAAGTGGAACCGCCTTTTCGGGTTTAGGGTCCCAAAACCGCTAGAGTTTAGGGTTACCCTAAACCCCAAACCCCTAAACCACAAAACCCCCTAAACCCCCTAAGCCCCCTAAACCTGCAAACCCTAAACCCCCAAAACCCTGAACCGCTTCGCGTTGTAGAAATCTGAAACCCTCCAACCCTCCCAAAGCTTCTCCCGACGTTTTTGGCGCGTCCTTTTCTTGGTATCCCAGGAACCGTACTACAGTCAAGGCAATTTTTTTGGGTAAACCCTATAAACCCTAAACCCTAAACCCTAACTGAACCCAAAAAAAGGGCGCAAGGGTACCAGGAGCTACCCCAAGATATTTGCCTCTGGGAGGCGTATGCTTGGCCGTCCTTCTTTTGCTTTGCGTTCGCCTGCAGGGCCCATGTCAGGCTTAGGGGTCTGGGGTTTGGGGTTTGGGGTTCAGGGGTTTGGGGTTGAGGGTTTCTGGTTTGGGGTTTGAGGCTTATGTGTGTAGGTTGAGAGATTTCAATTGCTCCGCAACCCTACATGCTGGGTTGGTTTGGCGGGTTTACTCTTGGCCCCAAGCGTACAACCCTCCACTCTGAAACCGAAACCTTAAACCCTCAGCTTGGAATAATCAGGCAGTCAGGATCGAATAACGACGGATTGGCTATTGAAAATAGCATTTAGGGTTTGGTTTAGCGTTTAGGATGATAGTGAGAAAGTAAGTGGTCTCTTCCAAGCGTTCAGTTGCAATAGCCGTCAAGGAACGATTTTGAGCACCCTAAACCCTAAACCCTAAACCCTAAACCCTAAACCCTAAACCCTAAACCCTAAACCCTGAACCCTAAACAAGCCCCTGCAGGAGTTGTAGGGCTCTTTGTGTGTGGGGGTCTCCCAGCACTGAACCCTAAACCGAACTAGGCAAAAAAAGAGAGAAGGGTCTACAGCCTTAAGCCTAAGGAGGTGTTTAGGGGTCACTGAAATCTCCGATCCGAAGTCATAGATGAGGGGCTTGAGCCAAATTGGGGCACTATTTTGGGTGGCTCTGTTGTTGATGGTATCAAGAACGGCCAACAAGTTTAACGTGGATCAAGCCCCACCAATCCCTCACCACCTCCCGAAATCCCCCGAACCCACATGAATTCCCTAAACCCTAAACCCTAAACCCTAAAGCCTGTAAACCCCAAACCTCATGAAGTCGCAAAAGCCAGATGCCTTGAAGACTGCCTCTGCCTCTTCGGAGAGCCGCCCTAGCAGCCCGGGCGAATGGAGGGGCTGCTGTTGGGTGACTCTTGCTTTGTGCTTTTTGTTGTTTCAGTTTTGTTTCTCTTGGGGGGAGGGGGGTTCGTGTTTAGATATTTTGAGGGTGGGGGAGGGTTAGGTCATTTTCGGCGAAACCCAATCACAGCAATTTAAGTCCTCAAGCCTGACCCCTGAAGCACCCGAACGCGAAGAACTCCCCAAAACTCCAAATCTCTAAGCCTCGAAGAAGTCCCTCCTAAACCCGAAACCCTAAACCCTAAACCCCAAACCCTAAACCCCAAACCCTAAACCCCAAACCCTCAACCCCAGACCCTAAGCCCCTCAGCCCCACCTTCGCGGACCATGGCCATCAGCGCCAGCAGCTTGGGAGCATCGGCCTCCTGGGAGCTGGGGTTTGGGGTTTGGGGTTTGGAAGTTGAGGGTTTAGGGTTTAGGGTTTAGGGTTTAGGGTTTAGGGTTTAGGGTTTAGGGTTTAGGGCTTAGGATTTCGGATTTCGGGTTTCGGATTTCGGATTTCGGGGGTGTTTAGGTTGAGGGCGTTGTGGTTTGCTTTACGGATTTTGGGGTTTCGGGCGGAGCCCATCAACCTTCAGACCAACCAGCCCCCAAACTGAAAGCACAAGCCCTCAGACCCTCAGTCTCCAGGGGTTCTACCTTGGACCCTGAAGGTTGTACCCTTGGGTTTTGGGGGTCCTTGTCTAAGGATCCCTAAAAGGGAATCTAAGGGCCATATTAGGAGTATATTTAAGAGGACCCTTTATAGGGGTACAGCCTTAGGGGTAGCGCTCCTCCACCGCCCCCGGCAAAGGCTGGGCAGCTGGGGTTGAGTAGCCATCACGGCCTGGCATCCTCGGTGGATTGTGTCGGGCTTTCCCCAAACCCCAAACCCCAATCTAGGGTTGAGAGGGCGTCGTAGGGCTGAGGGTTCTAGGACCCTCCCAGGTAGCAGGGTTCGAAGGTTCGATGGGTTTAGGGTTAAGGGTTTCGGGTTTAGGGTTTAGGGTTTAGGGTTTAGGGTTTAGGGTTTAGGGTTTAGGGTCTTGGGAACAAAGTTTAGGACTTGCAGCTCTTGGCTTAGGGTTTCTAGGGTTGAGGTGCTTTGTTCCGACTCCACCGGCCGAGGGGCGCGACCCGACGCAGGGAGGAGGGAGGCCAGCGGCGCTGGGACACTGGGGGGGGGGGGGGGGGGTGGAGAGAGGGAAAATGGCTGCGAGAATGGGGTGGGGGGTTTGATGGGTAGGGTTAGGGTTTTAGGGTTTAGGGTTAGGGTTTAGGGTTTTTAGGGTTTAGGGTTTAGGGTTTTAGGGTTTAGGGTTTAGGGTTTAGGGTTTAGGGTTTAGGGTTTAGGGTTTAGGGTTTAGGGTTTAGGGTTTAGGGTTTAGGGTTTAGGGTTTAGGGTTTAGGGTTTAGGGTTTAGGGTTCTTTTAGGGCCTCAGGGCTCAGGGGTTGCAAGATGTCTTCCCTTTTCGAGGTTGCGATTTTAACAAATGTGGAACCTCATATTCAGGGTACCCCAACTGGGACCAGCTTTTAGTGAGCCAAACCCTGTAGACCCAACACCCCCAAACCCGCAAACCCTAAAGCCGAAGACCCAGATGACAAAACTACCCCCAGACTTCTCAATCCTCTGGGGCGACCCCCCCACAACAAGGAAGACTCAGGCGCACCGCCACCTGAACCTCAACCCCCAAAGCGGGGGAAATTCTCAGAAAATTCGGGCTTAGGATTGCACCCGAATGAGAGAGGTTGCCTGCTTTCTTCCAGTGCTTCTTGAAGAGCGCACGCACTGGGCTGCCCTCATCCTTCTCTGCCTGGGCTGAAACCTAGGGTTCAGGATCTAGGGTATGGGGTTTAGGGTTTAGGGTTCAGGGTTTAGGGTTGAGGGTTTAGGGTTGAGGGTTGAAGGTTGGCAGCCGGGCAGAAGCGCTAGGGTCCGCTAGAAGAATTTTCGAAAGCTACGCGCCCACCTTGCAGACTGACCCCGCGGTCTCTTCCACATGATGGTCCCTCTTGGGTACCCGCAAAACCACCGACTCAAGAGCCTAAACCCTCAAACCCTTCAAACCCCTCAAACCCCCTCAAACCCCTAAAACCCCTCAAACCCCTCAAGCCCCTCAAGCTTCCCAAACCCCTCAAACCAAACCCAAACTCCCCCTGAAGTTTGAGGTTGACCTGGCCTTCCCAGCGCCCTCGTGGTACTTGCAGTAGTCTGCAGTTCCCCTCCTGCACACGCCGGGGGGGTAAGCCCTAAGGACATCGGTCCAAGCAGCACCTTCATTCTCTGTGGCCCTCATGCCTTGCAACCTTAACCCCTGAGACCCCTAACCCAAAGCCCATGGAAGGCACCCCAACGCCGTCTAAAACACCCGGTCCCCTTCTGGGGCGCCCTAAACCCTAAACCCTAAACGTTATGCGGAGATGTAAAATGATGTTGGCACGGTTGAAACAACCTGTGATGCTCTGGCTCAAGACATGGCCAGAGAACAGCGCCGTGTCAGTAAAAGGAGTAAGCCCGTTTGGTTAAATGCTGGGGGTGTTGGGTTTGGAACCTGTAGCTTCGGCTGGGTTCGTCCGCACCGGACCCCCTTTTTCCCCGTTTGGATTGGTTCAGGGTTTGGGTGTTCGAACTTTAAAACACTTGTGACCTTGAAGGGTGAGTCCTTCTTTTAGACCCCCTTTTGGTTCCCCCGTAGGTTATAGCCCAAGATTAGGTTCCCTGCGGTTTGGCTTCAAGGATCAAGGGCTTTAGAAAAGAATTTCATGGAGCCACCACTACTGGTGTCCAATGTGACAGGGAAGGCCTCTGGTGGTGCTGGTTAAGGGCGCGGAGAAGCTACAGATTCGGAAAGGCCCAACGAGGAAAGGGCAAGTGTTACTGGTGGAGTTCATGGTGAGGGCGCGGCACTTGAGAGCTGGAGAGAAGAAACCTTGGGATGAGGCTGGCGGCGTGGATATTGAACTGGAGGCTGCTGTACTGGAGATCATGAGAAAAAATGCACTAGGGTCTTCATCTTCGAGTTTCTCTGGGAAGGTGATGGTTGAGCAAAGTGCTCAGACTGAGTTGAGTCTAGCTGATGCGGCGATTCTTGATCAGTCTCGAAATGTAGAAAATCAGGCGTCTGGCTGTGGAGATATTACAGCGGTGCACTGGAAGAGTCAAAGGCAGTGGAAAAGATGCAGCCGTGAGCTCGAGACAGACGAGCAGGTTGGCGCTTCTGGGGATCCAACATCTGCTACGCAGGTTCGAGAATCTGCAGTGGATGGAACTGAGTGGGAGGTGCACTTCACTGAGGAGGGGAAGCCGCATTAGTGGCAGGAAAAGGTGGTTCGAAGACTGGCACGCTTGTGGACGATTAGGGCTTTTTAGGGTTTAGGGCTTTTAGGGTTTAGGGTTCAGGGCGTTTTAGGGCTCAGGGTTTCGTAGGGTTCACGCCTTTTTGGGGTTTAGGGCTTTGGGCTTAGGGCGTTTCTGGGGCTTAGGGCTTTTTGGGATTAGGGTTTTTTTAGGTTTTAGGACTTTTCAGGGTTTGGGCCTTTAGGGCTTTGTAGGGTTTCGGGTTTTTTATGGTTTTACACACGGATGATTACCCCATCTTCGGGTGTGCCCACCCAGCAGGAAAGCGCTATACTCAGCAGGAGGGACGCGCAGGCCTTAAGGGCAGCCTGCAGGTTCTGTTCACACCCCCCACGGAGGGCCGAGGGTTGAGGGGGGGGTGGGGGGTGGCTTGCCCTGAGTCGCCACAACCACATCTTCCTACATATACGACTACAGCTCACCCTCAACCCGAACCGCAAAGCAAGCGACGGCTGTGGCCGCGGGCTCCGAGTCTAGGGTTCGGGCTTCGGGCCTAGGGTGAACCGAAACCCGACATCTGAACCCGGTGCCTCTGGTGACCACCAAGGCACGGGACCTTGGTGGGCCCGGGTTTAGATTTCGGGGGTCAAGGCGGTGCCCTGATTCGCCACAACCAAGTATTCCTACATATATGACTAGCAAGCGATGGCTGTGATTGCGGGCTCCGATAAAACTACAAGACACACAATGCACGCAATACATTCAACACAGACACAGATACAGACACAGACAGAGAGACACAGACGGAGAGACACGGACACGGACACAGACACAGAGACACGGCAGAGGGACCTCTGCGTCCTGCCTAAAATTGCTTGAACGAAAAAAAACACCTCTCTCCCCTCCCCACTCCCCTCCCGTCCACCCCCCCTTTCCCCAAGGACGCTGCGCCAACCGTGCTCGCTTGCCCATGTTCACCAGAACTTGGGCCTCAAAAAGCGAACCTAGCCAGATCCACAAACCCAAACTTGAAGAGAGCATCCCCGACGGCATTTTATGAATTCGGACCAAACTAACCCCCTGACTAGTTTGATCCGAACACGGAAAGTACCTCGCAAAGAACGCCTTCCAGAGGATCCCCCTTCAACGAGCATTCAGGCCCCCACGCACGACCTGCAGCGCTTGCGCTTGGTCTTCTCCAAGGCTTGCACCGAGCCTTCTGATTGCGGAAGTCTTTGAGCCGTTAAGCTTGCGGATGCACAAGCTGGCTTTCTCGGCCCGACCTCCCATCTCTCTCTCTCTCTCTCTCTCTCTCTCTCTCTCCCTCTCCCTCTCCCTCTCCCTCTCCCTCTCCCTCTCCCTCTCCCTCTCCCTCTCCCTCTCCCTCTCCCTCTCCCTCTCCCTCCCCCTCCTCCTCCTCCCAGAAGGTGCCAGGCAAGGGAACTCATGTACTTTCATGGGCTGTAGCGGCTTATTCATAGTTCAACATGTTCTGCAACCACTGCAATGCTCTTATGAGAGCTGGACAGCCAGCACAGAAAATAATGACACACATGTCACAGCGCTCACCAGCTCATGAAAGCTTTGGCCCAGTTGCGGATTGTGAGACAGGCGGCGTCTCAACCTCTGCAGGCAATACTCCTGCAGGTCTTCCAGAACCCTGCAAGAAGCATACCTTGCACAAGGGGTGCTGCTACTGTTGCTCGTGCTGGTGGTGGTGTTTTGGTGCTGGTGTGGTGGGTGCTGGTGGGTGCTGGTGGGTGTTGGTGGGTGCTGGTGGGTGTTGGTGGGTGTTGGTGGGTGTTGGTGGGTGTTGGTGGGTGTTGGTGGGTGTTGGTGGGTGTTGGTGGGTGTTGGTGGGTGCTGGTGGGTGTTGGTGGGTGCTGGTGGGTGCTGGTGGGTGCTGGTGGGTGTTGGTGGGTGTTGGTGGGTGTTGGTGGGTGCTGGTGGGTGCTGGTGGGTGTTGGTGGGTGTTGGTGGGTGTTGGTGGTGGTTGAAGGGTGTTGGTGGGTGTGGGTGGGTTGGTGGGGGTGTTGTGGGGGTGGTGTGGTGCTGGTTGGTGGTGTGGTGGGTGTTGGTGGTGCTGGTGGGTGTTGGTGGTGTTGGTGTGGTTGGTGGGATGGTGGTGTTGGTGGGTGCTGGTGGGTGGTGGGTGTTGGTGGGTGTTGGTGGGTGTTGGTGGGTGCTGGTGGGTGCTGGTGGGTGCTGGTGGGTGCTGGTGGGTGTTGGTGGGTGTTGGTGGGTGTTGGTGGGTGTTGGTGGGTGTTGGTGGGTGCTGGTGGGTGTTGGTGGGTGTTGGTGGGTGTTGGTGGGTGTTGGTGGGTGATGGTGGGTGCTGGTGGGTGTTGGTGGGTGCTGGTGGGTGTTGGGGGGTGTTGGCGGGTGTTGGTGGGTGTTGGTGGGTGTTGGTGGGTGTTGGTGGGTGTTGGTGGGTGTTGGTGAGGCGGCCGGGCAGCCGACAGCAATCTCCAATCTAACTGACATGTTAAACGCAGGTAGGATGCTGAAGGCTGAGGCTGGGACGCCTTGTGTGCCCCAAGGTGTTCACGGGCAGCGTGCAAGAGCTTCAGCTGACATCTTGCCAACCGTTTTTGGCGCCATCAGGGCGGAAGCGGTTCTTGACTTTGAGAATCTTCACTTCCTGCCCAAAAACGAAAAAGGTAGAGAAAAGAAAAAACAACAAGGCATCGAAGAAGACTCTGGGATGTCACGAGGCCGCCCGCGTTGAGGTGAACCGTACAAAGCGTGCTGTGGATATATTTTGCTGGCGGGGATTTTCTGGAGCACTGGCGGAACTGTTCGCAACTGGCGCTGGTTTTCTCTGTAGGAAGGAAGAATTGGCGTCTTTCTTTTGGCAGTTTATCTGGTGTGGAACTTCACTGGAAAGCCAAGGAGAGGTGGATGACACTGCGTTTGTGAGAAAGGACCGAAAATTATTCTGAAGTTGGAATGTGGAAAGTGGAAGTGGGGTTTGGGACATGGTGGTTCAGGGCTTGGGTGTTCGAACTTTAAAAACTTGTGACCTTGAGGTTCGAGTCCTTCTTTCATACCCGCTTTTGGTTCCCCCGTACCCTAAACCCTAAACCCTAAACCCTAAACCCTGAACCCTGAACCCGGATCCCCTTCTAAGGGGCGCCGCGCCATGTGACGTGGAGCTGGAATTCCTCTGACAGGAGCACGGAGATGGCGGATATCGGCTCGGCCATGACCTGAAGGAGGGTTTAGGGTTCAAGGGGGCTGGAGGGTTCAGGATTTAGGGTTGAGGGTTTAGGGTTTAGGGTTTAGGGTCTAGGGTTGGAAGGCTCAATGAGGGTGAGGGTGTAGGATTCCGGGTTCGGGGTTGAACTCGGGTTCCGCGTGTTTAGGGCCTTGCGCGCCGTTTGTGAATGACCTTCTCAAAGGCCGAGTCGAGCCCTACGTACTTCAGAGGTTCGCTTAAGGCTTGCCTTAAGTGGTTCTTCGTGGGGGAATGAAGGACTCGGTACCCTCTGCAGCAAAATCTCTTGGAAGGCAATCAGGGGGCTACAGGGTTCCGAAATTCCGCCGTAAGGTACTTATAAACCCCTACTAGGAACTGGCAAGCTGTTGCAGGGTGAAGGTTGAGGGCTGCTTTTTCTATAAAGAAGTTGTTTAGGTCAGCTTGCTTTGGGTTTCAAGGTGCTTTTCAGGGTCCCCGCGGAAGCCTCCCTGAACCTGCCATGGGCGCCCCTTCAGCCCCTGAACCCAACATTAGCCTCCACAGGGTTTGGGGTTTAGGGTTTAGGGTTTAAGGGTTAAGGGTTAGGGTTTAGGGTTTAGGGTTTAGGGTTTAGGGTTGAGGGTTGAGGGTTGAGGGTTGAGGGTTGAGGGTTGAGGGTTGAGGGTTGAGGGTTGAGGGTTGAGGGTTGAGGGTTGAGGGTTGAGGGTTTAGGGAAATGCCCACTGGCGCCCTGAGTTGGATGCTCGGCACACTCCTCGAGCTGACCCATGACCCAGGCCCCTGAGATGATCCAAAAACCCTAAACCCTAAACCCCAACCCTAAACACGAAACCCTAAACCTTTAAGGGTTCCGAACAGTGACCCAATAGTAGAATAGGGTACTATCTGGGGCCTCTACTTTTTGGATCCTCCCACAGGGCTCCGGGGAAGGGCTCCAGGCGGGGTGCGGGGCTCGTCCCACTTCAAGACGAGCTTTCTTTTGACACTGGGCCGTTGGGGCCTTCAAGGCCCCAGGGCCGCGCAGGGTTCGCAAGACAACGAAGGCGCGAACAGCAAAGAAACACTAACCACCGTAAACCCTACAACCCCGAACCCTGAACGCATAGGACCCAAACCACCTAAACCCCTGACCTCTAGAACCCTGAAACCTCCTGAAGATCTAAACCCCCAAACCCCAACACCCTAAAAACCCTGAAACCCCTTTTGCGCTAAACCCCCTTTTTCCCTAAAAACCCCCAACCCCTGAAGTCCCGAAAGACCCACCCTAAAACCCTAAAACCCCTTTTGCCCTAACCCCTTTTCGCGAAAACCCCCAACCCCTTTTCCCTAAAACCCCCAACCCTAAACCCCTAAACCCCTAACCCCCGAAACCCCTAAACCCCTCAACCCTAAACCCGAGCTGGCACACCCAAGGCGCCGAGCAGTGTGTGCCGAAGACCCAGAGCTTCACTGCCTGCCGCTGCGTTCTTAGGGTTTAGGGTTTAGGGTTTAGGGTTTAGGGTTTAGGGTTTGGGGTTTAGGGTTTAGGGTTTAGGGTTTAGGGTTCCAGGCTAGCAGTTCTCTTACCTTGCTATTTGAGACAAGACCGCTGAGACCGAAACCACAAGTGTGATGCAGCTACCCCCTTTGTTGCTACAGACTCGATCTTCATTGTTGTTACACTCTTGTTCCTAAACCTCATTCCGATTGTAGATATGTTTTTTAAAATGACCATGTCCATTTTCTCACCTTGGGGGGACCTTCAGGTCGCCTCATATGGGCTTTCTATGCGCTACAAGTAAGGGGTACGGGTCTTAGGGCGGCCGAGGGCCTAGGGTGGATCGTGTGGCTTGAGTTTCTGGTGGGGGCGATGGGGGGGGGGGGGGGGTATGTAAAGGTCTGGGTGTGGGTCCATGACATGGCCTAGCGTAGGTCGGGCGGTTGAGTTTCCAGCACTGTTTGCTGGTTTCGGGTTCGGGTCTATGACATGGCCTAGAATGGGGGTCTGGTTGGGTTTTTGTAATGTCTGGGTTCGGGTCGATGATATGTCCTAGGCGGGTGCACGGAGAGAAGATGGAACTGGCAGTCGCTAACTTATCGACCCTTATAAACCCTGTATTTTCAGCCCTTCCAAACCCTTATAAATATAAGATCTTATAAACTCTTTTCAACCCTTTCTCACCCTCATAAGCCCTCATAAGCCCTTATAAAACCCTTTAGTTTGCCCGTGTAAGCCCTTATAAAGACTTGTACACCCTTACCATTACATACCCTTACAAATCCTCTAGCTGTACACACTCAACCTTTCGCAGCAAGCGGCCTGTGGCTTCTGTGCCTGAAGCTGCGCCGTGCGCCTGGCGCTACCCGCCCACCCGCACAAACGAAGCAGGGTTGAGGGTTTAGGGCTGAGGGTTGAGGGCTTAGGGTTGAGGGATGTTGAGGGTTTAGGGTTGAGGGTCTGGGTTAGGGTGCCGAAGGCTCAAAGGCTCTAAGGGTCCTTTGTGAACGGTGCTTCTACAGGACCTTGCAAGGGTGCGACCATGTCTGGTAAAAGGGAGACTCACCCTAAACTTGCCCTAGATGTAAACCCTAAACCCTAAACCCTAAACCCTAAACCCTAAACCCTAAACCCTAAACCCTAAACCCTAAACCCTAAACCCGAAACGCTCCTCCAGCTGCCCACCAGAGCCAGACTCTGTTTGGCGGCCAGCGTGGCCGTGCGCCTCTAGGGAAAGCGGTTTAGGGTTTAGGGCTTAGGGTTTAGGGTTTAGGGCTTAGGGTTTAGGGCTTAGGGCTTAGGGCTTAGGGCTTAGGTTTAGGGTTCAGGGCTTGGGGTGTAGGAGCTGGGCTCTTGGGGTTTAGGGACGTCAAGGGGATGAAGGGCTTCGGGCTTTAGAGGCTCAAACCCTACATCCTAAACCCCAAACCCCAAACCCCAAACCCCAAACCCCAAACCCCAAACCCCAAACCCCAAACCCCAAACCCCAAACCCCAAACCCCAAACCCCAAACCCCAAACCCCAAACCCCAAACCCCAAACCCCAAACCCCAAACCCCAAACCCCAAACCCCAAACCCCAAACCCCAAACCCCAACCCCAAACCCCCAACCCCAAACCCCAAACCCCAAACCCCAAACCCCAAACCCCAAACCCCAAACCCCAAACCCCAAACCCTAAACCCTAAACCCTAAACCCCTAAACCCTAAGCCGCAGGTACCTGGCTTCGGGGCTGCTATGAAAAGGTTGCAAACTTCAGACTTGGGAGCTGACTTCGGGGCGAAAAACCCGACATCCCAAGCCCTGAACCCCTAAACCCCTAAACCCCAAAGCCCCAAAAACTCTAAACCCTTAAGCCCTAAACCCTAAACCCTAAACCCTAAACCCTAAACCCTAAACCCTAAACCCCAAACCCTAAACCCTAAACCCGAAGCAGGCCCCCGCCAGCTCGCACTTTCCGGATGCCACGGCCGCCGTGGCGAACGCAGGCTTTGGGACAGCTCCTTGGGCCAAAAGCGGTTCCTTGAGTTTGCGGGTTAGGGGTTACGGTTTGCGGTTTAGGGTTCAGGGTTTAGGGTTTAGGGTTTGGGGTTCAAGGTTCTGGGTTGGGGGCGTAGGCTTCAGAGTGCAGGTTCTTTGAACGTCAAATCTGCGCGCTAACAACTGCTCTGAGAGCAGACGTCAAGTGTTCGGGTTTAGGCTGGGGCTCCAGAGCAGGGGTGTGGCGGTTGTCTTCCTAGTGCTTGTCCGGGTCTTGACAATCCATCCTTAAGCAACCTCCTCCCCACCCACCCCGTAGGCTGACCCGCGTTCACACCCCAAACACTTCACCATAGAGCCTGACATACTCGATACATGTTGAATATTGGGAAGGGAGTGGGGGGGGGGGGTGGGTGAAGGTGAAAATTGGGGAGGGCATTCCGACCCGCGAACCCGCGGGCTCAACGTTCCCTCAAAAACCCCAATGTTACCCTATATTATAGGGGAATAATTAGAATAGCGTGTTGGGGGGTTATTATAGCACACTTCTAAAGGGACCCGAAGGGAATACTAGAAGTAGTTACTTCGACCCCTGTAGTAAACCCTGAATCCCAAAGACCCAAACACCATTCTCTGCTGGCACCTCGGTAGAGTGTTTAGGTTTAGGGTTTAGGGTTTAGGGTTTAGGGTTTAGGGTTTAGGGTTCAGGGTTCAGGGTTCAGGGTTCAGGGTTTAAGCGGCACCTCGGTAGAGTTCTCGTCCCAGGTCTCGAAGGCAGCGGCGTAGACCTAAGGCTCAAGGCGGTGTTTAGGGCTTAGGCGCTCAGGTGTAGAAGCCCTAAACCCTGAGCCTTAAAACCGAACCATGTAGACGTGGACAAGGCTCAGGTCTTAGGGTAAGTTGCGGTAGGGATTGGAGTTGATGTTTCAGGGTTCAGGTTTGAGGGCATCTGAGTGTTGAAGCTTTTCAAGAACAAGTCCCCCGACCCTAGAGCCGGGTCAAACCAACCCAGCCAACAAAACCCAAAACAACTCCCGCAAAATCAAAATCAAAACAAAGAGCCCCCAGCCCCCCCCCCCCCTCCTCAGGCAAAGGCTAAATCACATTTTTGCCCTGGCCCTGCGTGTGTCCCCAACATGACTCTCCTAGAGTCCTAGAGGTTAAGGCCGGTGTTGTGCAGATACGGGTTTAGGGTGAAGGATCCTCATCATACATGTCACGTCACAAGGTCAGGCTTCCACCCGAAACCCTCGAACCTAAACCCGAAACCCTGAACCCTGAACCCTTCTGTTTCAGTCGCGCTAGTCCGGTTGAACCCTGAACCCTGACGCAAGTCTCTTTTCTTTCCTAGGACTCAGAGCACAACGTGTATATAAGCCCTGCCGCGCTATCAAGTGCAAGCTGCAGATGAGCATGAACAAAATAACAAGTCACTGAGCGCTTCTGTGCCAAGGTTCAATCAAATCGGAAGTTGACAGCGTCAGTCAGTTCTGCCCACTCATCTTCTTTGAGCTACAACGCTCGCGCTGCACTCAAGAAAACGGCGGCAACA